AATTGTATTGTTATGTGTATATTTAAACGTATTTGTGTTAAAAAGAAAACTGTGTGTATCAATCTTGTTGGCAAATATCATAAATTGGAGATATATTGGCATATGTTTAAATACTAAATCCAAAGTACAATTTAACTACTAAATTTAAATTATCACTTAACTCAATTTCAGACCATTTGAAATTCTAATACGTAACATTTGTAATGCGTCAAATAATTTTCATATACCCTGTACTTTATGAAAATATATGAGGGATGTTGCATAGTTAATAGCTTGTAAGATTGATGTGAAACACTAGCTGTGTTGTTGTGAAACTGCTTGGGGAAAACCTCTGACGTCTGTCCTTCATTGTTTGCCAAGTTTAAATGTAAAGCTCATGGCGTATTTAGTGTTTTCCTCTTGTCCTCATTTGATAGATAACTTATACTTATGAACACCATTCTCGGTATATAAAAAAAGACAACTGAAACTTCCCTCTAGTGAATGACTTGATGATAACTTTGTACGTTCCTACCCGTGCTTTAGTGAAAGAAGAGTCAACTCTGTAACTGAAGTTTACACCTTTTAAGAAACCAATAGTAACAATTTCTGTATTTCAAAATTTCAAAGCGTTCTTATTCAAGATATTCAGGTACGTCAATAATTTATGTATTTCAGTATTTGTTTAAATATTTTGAGCGAATACCATTTACTCACCAACGGTAAACTGAATAAAACCTGTGTTTTGAAGTGTTTCAAATGTTTTTGATTATGTATCTATTTTAGTACTGTGTGTATATCTATTTATTATTTCAACATTATACACAAGAAAACAATTGTCAAGAAAACAAAACCTATTCTTTTCGGTAGCCCCCAGTGGTATAGCGGTGTGTCTGCGGACTTACATCGTTAGGAACCGGGTTTCGATACCCGTGGTGGGAAGAGCACAAATAGCCAATTATGTAGCTTTGTGCTTATTTAAAAACAAACAAAGAAATCCTTTTGGTATTCTTGAAAGTTTCTAATTAATAAAAAAGTTCTTCATCTGAGATATTTTATGTTTGACAAACAATACTCACCTTATATACTGATCAGCAACTTTTTAAATTGGTGATTTTCCTTTGCCTTGTTTACTAATTTTGGATTTAGTTTCATAAATAACTATGATCTTTCTGGCATTTTCATTTTAGTTTTTGCAGGATTCAACAAATGATTTCAAACAAGAATACAATTTAAATGATTTAGTCATTTAATATTTCAGAAACTGGTGGTATTAATCAAGACTAGTTTTTCTTTGTTCATTTCTCATACTAACATATAAAAAAGTCTTAATGCTTTCCTGAACTCTCGTCACCCAATAAGTAACTTAAGAATACAGCTGATAAAGTATAAAAGTAAACATTCTCTGGTTCTGTTGACTGTGAATGTATCTATATTTTATTTAAGTTGATAACTCGGTGACTCAGCGATAAGATTCATAGTTTATATTTTCCCAATACGGGGTTCTATCCCTGCTGTAGCACAGCCCAGATAACCTGTTGTTCAGCATTGCACTTGATAACAAACAAACAAGCTATGTAAAATAATATTGTGTTTACGTTCTGAATTATCACTTGACTTCAATCTTCAAGAAACTTATGCTAACAATAAATATTTTTAAATTTGGAATATTATGAGAGGATGATGAAATTCATTTATATATAATCAAGTTTTCTATATTGAAACATAACCCTTATGCAGCTAATATGTCATTTAATGTAGGTGTTTAAACAGCAGGGTGTTGCACTTTTTCCTTCTATACTTCTATTTTGCTAGACTTTATCTGATCTTTTTTTAACACATGTAAGTGGATAGAGGGTTTCAGAAAATTACTTCAAGCAAAGTTATTCGGTCTTTGTGGCATAATTTGTTGAAAAATTGAGCAGACTCATTTAGGTTAGTGGGGCATTTTCTAAAGTGTTCCGCTTCAAATATATACATATATACAACATGATAACTTAGTAATCATATTGAGGGCACCTTTGGAGTTCTTCCCAATTTATCATCTTAGTCATTTCGTACCTGAGACCACCTAATTTGGACTAGAAAAACGTTTTAGTTTGTCAAGAAGATTTAAAGATTTAAACCGTAGGTCCTCTTCTTATATCATAGAGTATTTCTAAACGAATCTAGAACTTAATAATTGAACGTGCTATCGAGAACTTATACCTTATAAGTATAACAGGAAAGAAACAGCTCGTGTTTCTTTGTTGTTGTTTTTTAAAGCACATCAAGAAATTTAAAGAAAGCCGAGATAATATAAAAATGTCTCTTATTATCCTACACTTGAAGCTGTGCCGATAAAGTTAGCATACACATTGTGAAGGCAATTACTTTATTTTGTGCTGTCAGTATTATATCTTGCAGCTAAAATAAACCATAATTATTATAAATTAGCTCTTGCGTGAGCAGAATAAAAGTCGTTTTTGGCTAGTTACAAAGAATTTGGATATTTCGATAATACAATTTTTTTTTTATCGACAAAATTAAGGCAAATCGTTACATTTAGACGAAAAGCTACGTGACTGTGTTTGTAAACAGAATGACTTACTAAAGTGAAAACCTTCGTAGCAATTTTTTTTTTACTATAAAAAACTTTATTGCTATTATTTTTGGACTAAAGAAAATTTTTAAAAAGTCTCTTATCACGTTTGGTAAATATTCCGCTTCTAATAATACAAATGGTATAAATGAAATGCTAAAAGACACAGATGTCATAAGAAAAGGAAGAACACTGTATTTTTGCCCACCACAAATATCGAAATCAGATCGAGCCACCAGGGGGCAGATAATGTAATATACACTTCTTCGTGTATAAAGAGTAGTGTGCATTATTTTGGTTTTGTTTGGTTGTTGTTCAACACAAAGCTACACAACTGGCTATCTGTACCACGGGTATCGAAACCCAATTTCAGCATCGTAACCCCGCAGATTAAGTACTAGGCTACTGCGAGGTGTGTACGTTATATTAAAACGATTTTGTATATACTAATGGGCATGTCATATAATGACCTTGACTATGCGAGTTACCCCTAAGTGTACTGTGATGGGGGTCAAAGTGCGCAAGTCACGACGTTTATACAGAATTACATTCAATATTAAATTAGCTTTATTATCAATGCATGACTATAAAAGTGGCATCTTAACGTGGTTTATAGTCCAAATTTTACTATTGCATAAGTTTTAATTTTTAATTTCAAAAGAAATTTTTAAGTAAATTCTCATTTTTTACTTTTCTTTTACACGTCATACTAATTACTCTGAACTTCCCATTTTAGAGCGCTCGAATCGCAATCTGCGGTTTCGAATCTCCACCCACCAAACGTGCTCGCCCTTTTAGCCGTAAGTGCGTTATAATGTGGCGGTCAATCCCAGTACTTATTGATAAAAGAGTAGCCCAAGAGTAGGCGGTTGGTTGTGATGACTAGCTGCCTTCCCTCTAGTCTTTCACTGCTGAATTAAGGTCGGCTAGCGCAGATGGCCCTCGTGTAGCTTTGTGCAAAATTCATAACAAACAAACATTTTAGATTTTTCTTTCTACTCAGTATATGAGTTTGGCACAAATTACACTTGCCATATGTTGCTAATCGGCTATTGACCTGTGGCGAATTGGTGCTTTACTTCTACCACCTATTTTTTAAATATAATTTTTAATAAAGTTCGTTTTGTTACGTATTAGAATTTCAATAGCCTCTCGTATAGTTTCTCTAAACTGTTGCCAATATGCATAGAATTGCACTTTCGATTAAAATAAACCTCTTTTTCGTGGGCAAATTCCATATAAGTGTGATTCTCTTGCTTGCGATAACCTCGAAACAATTGGAGATAAGTCACTGGTACTAAATCGTATTCTTTGAAAATAGCTGCTTTAACCTTCTCATAATTCGTACAGTCTTCTATAGAGAGAGCGGCATAAGCTTCTTGTGCTTCACCAGTCAAGACACTTTGTAATAATAATAACCATTTTTCGATGGGCCATTCCATGGTTTGAGCAACCTTCTCAAAATGTTGAAAATAATTATCAACTTCATCTTCATTAAATGGTGGTACTTTAACATATCGATTAAGTTCAATGTTGTCATTTTGCCTTGGTCGATCGGAGTCGAGTATAATTTTCATTTATTTCAGCCTAATTTCTTTTTCGGCCACGAGACGTTTATTTTCTCTTTCAGCTTCGATATGAGCTTGTTCTTTCTCTTATGTGGCTTCGATGCGAGCTTGTTCTTTCACTTTTTTGGCTTCGATACGAGCTTTTTCAAGCTCGATTTGTTTGAGTTTTAGCTAGATCTCTAACTTTATCACTCAACCCCAGTTGGATAGTGGAGACACTAGAGTATTCCTTTAATGCTTCCTCAGGCAACAAATCATCATCGACTAGTATTTTGCTAATACTCTTTCTTATTTCATTTTTTTCTCATTGATCTCTTAACTTCTAGTTCTAAAACTAGAATTAATTTTTGTTATATCTTTCTAGTTGTTCGAGGGAGGGTGATTGAAGAAAATCTTGATAATCATGCATGATAAAATCTTGTTGGCACTGATAGATATATATTGAATTATGATATAAATTTTAATGTAGATTGAATTTTGTCTCTGATTCAGATCCCGGACACGAACCCCCAAATTATTATGGTAGTATTGCAATTTCAAATAGCCTAAAACGGAGTTTAATTGTATTTTGGATCTAGTAGTTAAATAAATGCTGATTTATATCCAATTTATCATATTTGACAACAAGATTGATACACACACGGTTTTCTTTGTTTTATACAAATATGTTTTAATGTAGTAACAATAATACAATTTGCAATAACAGTTATTACAAACAGCTACTACAAACAATGATTTATATATAAAAGCTCCACAAACTTACAAGCAATACAAAGTCTTCTTTCTAGTCTGGAACTTCCTTGATATTTTATCGAGGGTTCACGATGAGTGACTTAATTTCGAGTTGATGTAGGTACAATTCATTTAGTAGGGAGCTAGCTAGCTCTATAGTCTTCACTGATCGCATGCCAATTTTTCCTATCGGTGACGTTAGATAATGTTTTCGTAAAAGTACTAATGTCTGAATTGACTGAAGTTAAATGGTTTGTAATGTTCAAAATTTATAAATGTTCCTGGTCAAATATCTGAAGTGTCTCGATTAATAAGCGTTAATCACAAGTATAGCTTCCGAGGTTTATAGTATACTAACTATAGCAAACCAATAATAGATAGTGTTTTTAAGCGCATTGCGTTGGTTTTATTTATAGGCATGTGAAGAGTTTCTCAAAAATTCAGTATACCTAACAATACAAAGCTACACTAGCGTTTACGTACACACACATATATTGTTGATTCTTACACTCGAAAATCTTCTACAACTTTAGA